ATAATTGTCTCTTCGGTCATGTAGGCAGGAAATGATAATCTTGGCAGGTCATCTCATCAAGTCGAAATGTTGTTTATGAGTAGGGGATTATAAAGAGACTAGGATTATATGTAGGGTTTCACGTTTAGTCGAGACCGTCCTAGTCGACTGATGGTTGTTCGAACCGAGGAGATCAGCGCCCCGAGAACGAACAACGTTCGGGTCCACTTGGCGTTAACCAAGTGTACCTATACTCCAGCGAGCGAGCAAACGCCCTCGGTTGACCCACCTCTGCAATTACATGCAAAAACTTTCGCACGTGGGTCAATAGCTCGGTAGGGATACGCCCCTGAGGGTGGTGACAGCCTCTGAGGGAAGGTAAGATGTGCCCCACGAAAACCTATCCTGTCGTAGGGGACCGTGGGATGTACAGCTGGCGCACCCGGCTAGAGCGGCGAAAGGGCAGTGCAACCGCGTCCGTCTCGGCGGTTCGCGGGACTAATTATGCATCATCCTAAGTTGTCTCTTGATTTTGTTTTAACTCCTGCGTGACATAGCGGGGAGGGCCCTCGCTCACGCAGGGGCCGATGCGCTCGACAGGTGGCACCGTTGCCGGGGATGACGACAAATTACCGTTGTTCCTGGTGGAACGACACTTGGGAAAAAAGAAGGTTATAGCGATTTTAAGTGTTGTGTGTTGTTTGTTGGGATTGAAAGTAGTTAATTGGTTATCAATGTTTGGAGGAAGAAAAAAAAACAAGGTTTGGAGTGAATTATTGGAGTCTGTTTGACATTTGGACATGTGGGTTCGTTGTGTTGATTCACTCAAGATGACGGGAGGAAGTGCTGATCCCGCAAATAGTAATGCAGGGGATCGACGCAATGACATTCTGGAACTCGCACGAGCCATTCGGGAAGCCGATAATCAGAAGGCGCAACTGCCGAAGGTTCAAGTTCCCCTCTTCAATGACACCAATGCCTCAGAATGGGCGGACAAGTTTGAACAATTGGGCAGTTGCTACGAATGGTCAAGCGAGAAGATGCTTCAAATGGTGAAGCGATATTGTATGGTCGAGTACAAAGAAGAGGTGTCGGAGTTGGTGCAAGCCTCGCGCGACTGGCCGGACTTCAAAGCTAAGTTTTTGGACAAGTACCAACTGGAGGATCAACTGCTCGACCTGACGGACTTACGGAAAGTCAATCGTCGGAAGTTTGGTACGGCTAAGCAGTTTCTCACGGAATTTGAATGGGTTGCGCGCTTAGTGCCTGACCTTCCAGATAAGGACCGGTGCCTCATCTTCCTCGAAAACTTTTCAGAAGTTGAGCAGCGGGAACTGATGAAGGATATGACCGGACGATACGACTGGCCAACGATCAAGGAGAATTTGTTGGCTGGAAGCTTCGACCAGATGCTTTACCGTCTCCTGAAGCAGCAAAAGGAGGACCGCGAGAAGGAAGGGGTAAGCGTGGACAAGGATCAAGCCGTTTACATGACCCTGACTGACATGCGGAACATGATGGATGACATGAAGGAGGAAAGGTTAAAGCTACAAGTGATGATGGTCCAGACAAAAGGAGAAAAAGGAAAAGGAAAACTCCCGTTTTGGAGGAAGTGATTAGTAGCAGCAGTGAAGAGGAAGACGAGGAGGAAGTGGAGCCCCCTCGAAAATTAACTAAAGCGGAACGGAAGACCCTAAATCAGATACGAGGAGGGCAAGACACTAGTAAAAAGCAGCGGAAGAAGAATGGAGGAGGTGGACAAGGAAGCAACCAGGAACAAGCGGCGCATGCCCCTCCTCAGCAGCCCCAACCTCAAGCAGGAGGCCGAGGTCGAGGTCGAGGTAGAGGCCAAGGCACTGGGGGAGGCCGAGGAAATGGGGGCGGCCGAGGCAATTGGCAGAATTGTTTTTGTAAGTACTGCGGACAAGATGGGCATGGGATACGGTTTTGTCAGACCGTTACCGAAGATGAAAACGATAAGGTTATATATACGAATATCCGAGGCGAGGTCTACGACTTCGAAGGGAACCTCATCGATCCCAATGTGGAGGGAGGAATGAGAAAGGAACCCTTCCGACGTATCGGGCGAGATCTCCCAGCAACTTTTCGACTGGCTTCTCCGGAAGAAGTCGAACAGATTGAGTTGGAAGCGGCGATGGAGTCATTGACAATTGAAGATGCCAAGGCCGCAGATGAAGGGTTGAGCAAAGAGCAGGAAGAGATACTGCAGCGAGCTCAGACAATGGTTAGAAAAATGACTCGATGCAGGGAAACTATCGTTCAAATATGTGCCGACATGAATGAAGAGTGGCCCGGACTTCCCCAAGTTTTTCTGTTTGGAGGATGGGACAGAGACGGCCAAGGAGGTCTTACTGATGTTACCGCATCATAGCCTGGATCGTCGTCGGCCGGGTGTCTGATGGCCACCACGATCTTGTCCCGTCCTGCTTTCAAGCGATCTACCACTGTTAGCCTCCCACAAGCTCGGAGGGCTCGGAAGCCTCCACGGCCAAGGGCAATGCCGGAAGAAGGGCCAAGACAATTCCGATTGAAGAAGACAATGGCGAGGAGGATGAATTGTTGCGGGCCGAGGATGAGCGGCAGGCCAAACAACGGGCCATGGAGAGGGGGTCAGAAACGGGCAAGGCCGATGTTGGGGAAGGAGAGCTGAAAAAGAAGAAGCAAGTCTACACAATTCCAGTAGAGCAAGGGCTGGATATTGAGCAAATCGTGGACCGGATTTTGGAAAGCCAGCGCGATTTGTTCACACTCAAGGAGTTCTTGGTCGCGTCGCCCAAAATCCGAGAGGAGTTCAGACACCGACTGTCAAGGAAAAAGGTTATGACGGCTAAGATGAGTGATATCTTTCCTCAAGAGATTAATTGGGCTCCCCCTGGAACAAAAATGGACTGGCACTGTGTAGCAACTGAGTTGCTGAAAGTGCAAGTTGGGCCATGTGAGTACTCGGCTCTCATCGACGATGGAGCTGAAATGAACATTATACGTGAAAGAGAGGCCATGGGGGCAGGAGTAAACATCAATCGAGCAAATACTGGATTTCTGGTGGGTGCAAGTGGGATAACTCCCTTTTGCGGAACGACGAGTGACGTGACGATACAAGTTGGTAAAGTCAAAGTCCGTTCTTACTTCTATGTACTACCAAGGGTTGAGCATGCCGTGTTGCTGGGCAGCGTTTTCCTATGTCGATCAGAATCCACCATCTTTAACAAGCATGATGGTACTATGATCGTGGTTTTGTGTGACCCCGTATGCGGCTATTACGAGGTGCTGAAGTGTGAGAACACAGGACCAACCAACTCAAGGAACCGACTCAATCCGGGGTCCTACTCCTTCACGGAATCTGAAAGACTCAGGAGGGAGAAGGAATCCGTTAGAGAAGAGAGCGATCCCCATAAATTTTATCTTGCTCTGCCCAACATCTCTCAAGCGATCGCGTTCGTTGCGACAAACTCGTCCGTGGACCCCAAGTTGGTCCAAACGCTGACAGAGATCGTGGCAGGAGAAGGTGGGGCTGGTAGGATGTATCTTACCTATCGACCCGACAGGTCTTCTGAGGGTGATGCATTGGCGGAACCAGCAAGCAAGCAAGGGTTTTTTTTAGAGGTGGACGACTTGGAGTTGGAGCGAAACGTAAGTACAAGAGAGTAGGCGAGAAAGCTCGGCCAGTGCCCGTCTTGATCACGCAAGAAGAGGAAGTGTATTATAAAGAAGAGAGAGAGAATGGATCAGGATGAGGAAAGAAAGGAGTGCGAAGGCGCCGTGTCGATTGACGGAGGAGAGAATTAAGAATATGATCATTGGAGAGAAAGGGTTTCTTACTGAGAGGGAGGTGAACCTCCTTGTCAGCGTCATAAAGAAAACCCACTTGGCTTATGCCTTTGATGATGATGAGCGAGGGAGGCTTGACGTTGACATGATTCCAATGATCAGGATTCATACGGTACCTCACGAGCCGTGAAACATACGAGGCCCGCGTTATCCGAATCCGGATGATCATCGTAGAGTTGTCGAATATCTGGACGGTAAAATTCGGACAAAGGTCGCGGATTACTCGTATGGACCATATGCGTCCCCTTGGTTTTGTTTCATCAAGCCAAGTGGTGTATTGCGACGGGTGCACAACTTGCAGAAACTGAACTCAGTGACGGTTCGTGATGCCGGAGGACTTCCACATGCTGATCAACTGTCTGAGTCGTGTGCGGGTAGACCTATCACCACTCTCATTGACTTCTACTCAGGATATGATCAATTCCCTCTCTATACGGCAGACAGGCCGATGACGGTCATGCATACGTCGAGGGGGTTAATTCATATGTGTGCGGCACCTCAAGGATGGACAAACGCCGTAGCAATCGTTCAGAGATATATGATGAGAGTCATGCAGCCGCTTTGTCCGGACGTGACCTCACCTTATATTGATGATCTGACCATACCTGGGCCACGTGTCAAGGACGAGACGGAGGTGCTGCCAGGCGTTCGAAAGTTTGTTTGGGAGCACGTTCGTAACGTGGAGAATGTCCTGTCCAAGTTAAAGGAGTACAACCGACGACTATCTTGGGCTTCTTATGCGATGAGAAGGTCGTCGACCGGACTCCAAAAAGACAAACAAGATTCTGGAGTGGCCGACCCCGTTCAATTCCATTACAGACGTGCGCAACTTCTTGGGGACTTGCGGATTCTGGCGTATCTTCGTTCGCAAGTTCGCAGCAAGGGTGGAGCACCTACGGAAGTTGGTGCGTAAAAGTCAGGAATGGGATTGTGGTCCAAAACAGCAGGCGGCGGTGGATGATATCAAGGCACAATTCCGAGAAGGAGGATTGATCCTGGGGGTTCTGTGCTTTGACAATGACCCGAATCGGCCCTTTGTGGTTGAAACGGATGCAGGCCCCACAGCGTTGGGTGGTGTCCTCATCCAAAAGGATGGAGAAGGACGAGAAAGGCCATCGAGATTTGAGAGTCGAACGATGAATGAGGCGGAAAGGAAATATTCCCAATTTAAGAAGGAAACCCTTGCAGTGCTTCATTGCTTCAGGATCTTCCGTGACTATGTGTTTGGAAGACAGTTCGTCTTGCGGGTTGATCCGACTGCCCTGGCGCAGTCACTGAAGAATTATTCCCCCTCGGATCCAACTATCGCTAGATGATTGATCTATATCTGGATGTTCGATTTCGAGATCGAGCGTATTGCAGGAATGCAAAATCGAGCCGATGGATTGAGTCGAATCGAGTGGGACTCCTCGAAAGATCGGGCAGAAGACTTGGTTCCTGTGGATGGATTTCTGAAAACATACGAGTAACAGTTGAGTATCAATGTTTGGGAGTATATTAGCAATGCTTCGTCCCGACCTGGGAACTCCATCTGGAGTTCGCCAAGTTGTTATCAGAAGCGCTCAAAACTTGTGATGAGAGAGCCCTTTACTGAGGAGGATCCCTGGGGCAAATGGTCCACGGAACAAATGATGAGGTTGACATTGTCTGACCCAGTACAACTTTCGGAAGAACCCCTTACGATTGAAGGGGGACATGAGCAAGGCGACGACGTCCTCAAGATTTCTGGAGGAATGATATTTCTTGTTAATTCGTTGATACAGGAAGATCGCGACTAATGTTGGAAGAAGGGGAAAGCAGTGAGATCAAATAAGCCTTTCGTGAGGAGGAATATGATGGGATTTATAAGAAGATTGGGCTTTGGCTGAATGGGGACCTGAACGAGGCAGAGATAGAGCCAGAAATAAGAGAGAAGGCAAATGATTTTGTCATTCGACAAGGGCATCTTTTCAAAAAGTCTGACGATGGAATGCCTAAGAAAGTGGTCTGTGGGGTTTCTAGGCAATTGGATGTGATTGCGGCTCTACATGATTGAGTGGCAGGTGGACATCGATCCGCACCAGTAACATTAAGAAAGATCCAACATCTCTATTTTTGGGATGGTATGGGGAAGATGGTGACGAAGTTCTGCAGCTCTTGCATTCCTTGTCAGAAACGTTCAAATCTCCGCTATGCTGAGCCACTTAACCCACGATATGTGGTTGAGCCAATTGAAGTTGTGCACCTCGACCTGGTTGTTATGCCACCCGGGCTTAATGGATACAGATACATTTTTGATGCGAGAGACAATCTTACCGGGTTTGTTGATGGGCGTACAATCCGTGAGCGAACCGGCAAGATTCTGGCAGAATGTATCGAAGAGTCTTACCTTCGGTACCCATTTGTTCGGGAATTTGTGATGGATCGAGGCGGTGAATATCGGGTAGAAGAGGTTCAGACTCTCCTGAAAAGGCTGGGAGTGAACAATAGTTATACTACTAGAGCGCACCCCCAGGCCGATGCTCCGGTCGAACGTGGGCATGCCACCTTGACCAATTTGCTAGCTAAATGGTGCGCAAGCAAGCCATCAACATGACCCGTCTATCTCAGAGTTGCCATATTTGTTGAAAATATAACTGTAAAACGGACTACTGGATATGCTCCTGTTACGTTATGGTTTGGACGACATGCTACGTTTCCAAGTGAGAGTTTCCTGACCACATGGCAAAATCAGGATATGAAAGTCAGTCTTTCTACAGAAGAATTGTTGGACCTGAGAGCCAGACAGATAAAAGCTACTGAGGAAAGAGTTGTAGAGGCCGCTGCATCAACTACGGACAGCAGACGGACGGACAAAGTTAGATGGGATAAGCAACCCTGGGTTAGAAAGGAACCGTTGGAAGTTGGGGATATTG